GTATCCCTTCGTTGTTCGCCGACACAGCGGATCTGGTGGATTCCGAGTTTCTAGGATCCATTATCTTTCTAACCGACCTTAGATCTGGCTACGGCGCCAAAATGCGGATGCAGATATCCACACTCAAAGATTTGTGAAGTGTTTAGATGATATTAGAGAAACAATGGGTAAGAATCTCTATTAGAGCAACTGAACTTAAGATCGAGAATAGATAAATGGACTTTTATTGATTGAATCAGGAGATCGTTTACAAGAGATCAATGTAGTTTTGTGTAAGAGCTCGTAGAGCGAATCCTCTACTTTAGTTCGTCTATATTTTCCTTAAATGTTTTTCCCACTTCGTTAGCTTCAGCACGTATCCGTATCCCGCACGAGCTCCGGATCTTACGTCGTCCCTTTGAACCGTTCTCTTCTTATTCTTCCATTCTTTTGTTGGGCCTTGCACTCGGAATATGGACATCCTTCGAGACTGGTTTTGATGGGCCAGTTAACGGGCCGGACTTGGTGACAAATTCGGGTCCAACAGTGCTTAGGTTTTCTTTTAGAAAATCTATTAGTTCGATGCAAATTGTTTTGGCGAGATCGACCCCGATTCCAACGCACCTTTCGGGGTTAGAGTCGTCTATGCATACTTGCTCGATTAGTTCTGTTCGAGGCTCGCATACGGAGGGGTCTTTATTGTGTTTGAGTTGTCGGACTGCGAGCTCCTCCTCTTTCAGTATTTGCTATACAGGAGCTTTTTCAGCTCGCTAGAAGCTCCCCATGTAGCAATCCCTTGAGGCTCGTTGGGAGCCGCGTATCAATTTGGTTCCCCAAGGGGTTGGGAATTTGATACATTGGTGGTATGTGGAAGCCACATCTTTTCTTTCATCGCGTAGAGCCAAGGTCTGCCGAGAATGACATTAAATGGAGCTGGGCAATCTACGACCATGAAGTCAATTGTTTTTATGACTCCGCCGGCCTTAACTGGAAGCTGGATGGTTCCTAACGAGTAGGTGGTTTCTCCCGCGAAGCCGGTGAGTGGAGTTCGATCGTTCGACAGCATGGATGTTTGGTAACCATGCGTCTAAAAGCATCGAAGAACAACACGTCTACCGAGCTCCCGGTATCAATCACGACCCTTGTGAGGTCGAATCCGCCAACGGCGATCTGGATGACGAGTGCAACATCATGTGGTTTGTCTAGAGACAGCGTTTCGCTTTCTAGAAAGCTGATTTGGTGCTCGGGTCCGTCCAGGGGTAGGAGTGGCGAACTCGACCTTGCGTTGATATGCCTTGATCGAGTTGATTGAGTCTCAGCACATCTTCGAGCCTCCGCAGATGAAGTCGATTCACTGGTGAGCTAGAGCTAGCTCTCCTACCCCGCCCCCCCCCCCCCCCCCCCCCCCCCCCCCCCCGAACAAGTGAGCGATGCGTGAGCTAGAGCTCGCTTGAGTTCGAGGTGTCGGGAGTTGGATGATGCTCGGTTTTGATGAGCTTCCGAGTAGTTTTAGCACGTGACCCCCCGCGACCTTATGGAGCTTGGTTGAGCAGGAGCTCGATGGTTTCCTAGGTGCGGGTGGGGGAGTGATTACTGATTTCATTGATCCACCGCAGAGATTTAGCTCTCTGAAAATCAGGTCGATCCTTTTTCTCGCTGATGGAGGGGAGTCAGGGGTTTGGACTTCGACTTCAACTTCGCGGTCTTGTTTTTGAAGTGCTTTGTCGGTGTCCGCTTCTCTGTTTCGTGTCAAGGTCTTTTTAGGTTTATCGCTTTTTGCCTCGGCCTTCTCGGCTTTTTCCTTGGTGAGCTTTTTCGCTAGGATTCTAGCTCGAATTCGACATTCCTCGGTGGAATGTCCGTTCTTTTTGTGGTGTTTGCAGTATTTGCTTTGGTCGAAGCTCGACTCTTTTTCAGGGGACGAACTTTCTATAGCGTATGAATGCTGACCTTTGCCCTGCGGCTCCTTTTTGGGAGGCGAAACGTTAGCTTTCCTCGACCCGGGGGTGCGAGGTGGAGCTGTGAGTTACGGTATTTTGCTTTGCAGGCGGCTGTTTCGTCTTTGAAGTTAGCGTATATGGAAGCGCGATGGAGCGCGTTATCGAGTGAGTCCGTAGATCGGAGCGTGAGCTCCGCTTTGAACCTCGACTGATACCAAAGGTTTGTTCGGAGGGCGAGCAGGGCTACTGCTTCGTTAGGGTTAGCGATTTTTGCTTTGATCGCTTTGAATTGAGCGATGTATGACCGAAGTGGTTCGTCTGGAGCTTGGACTAGCTTCCAGAGGTCGGCTTCAGTTTCTCGTTTTTCGATGAAGATCAAATATTGCTTGAGAAAGGCTACTGCGAGCTCGTTGAAATTCGAGATCAAATTTTCTTCCAGCGTCGCGAACCATTCTTGGGTTGGTCCAACTAAGTTTTTGGCAAAGAGCCTGCAGTATCATGCTTCTTTCTCCTCTGGAGAGACGTTAGCTCGGATAGCTGCGAGGTTGAAGAGTCGGATATGAGCTTTTGGGTCACTGTTTCCAGCGTACTCCGAGACTCGTACTTTGGTAGTGTCTCGGAGGTATGTGTTCATGATCGAGTAGCTGAATGGAGTCCGTTGGGTCTCGCGAATTACTCGGTCGATGTCGGGAGCTGAGCTTGTGGCTTGATGGAACATGGAGTTCATCTGCCGAATAGCGTAGTCGGTCTGATTCTGGAATCTTTCAAAAGATTCGCAGTCGATTAGGTTTCTTGAGCCGACACCGAGGTGGTTAGCCCGGGTCGGATCGTTCGGAATATGAGTTTCGAGCTGTTGGTGAACGAACCCTACGGGTTGTTCGCGGATCCCGTTTGGAAGTCAGGTCGTGTTCAGTTGTTGGCCGAACTGGGGTGGCTAGAGGCGAATGCCAAGGACCCAAGCCATCTCTGTCGAGGTGGCTCGGTTCCAGGTGGTCTTAAAGGTGGAGATGGATATCTTGTGTTGGGACGGTGTCCGATTTTGGGTATTCCTGGTGTCAGCACAGGCGGAGATGGATATCTCGACGCGAGACGAGGTCCCATCTCTGGTATTCCTGGAGTCGGAATATTCGTGGTGACTGGTGTCTGGATCGCCGTGAGGGCGAAGTTTGGTGGACCTGGAGCATGCAGAGGTGTCACGTAAGGTCCGGGTTGATTATTCAGAGCAGGGATCGACGAGAAGTCGAGCTGAGTCCGCGGAGGTGGACTCGCAGCGGGTCGAGCTGCGGCTTGATGCTTTGCCTGTCTTTCTTATCTGATATCCTGATCTCGTTGTCGATCGATCAGATGCGTGAGCATTTGGAGTATCTCCGCCGACTCCGATGTGCTCCTAGAAGCTACGAGTATCGGCAGGAAACAGGAGCTGCTCGACTCTGTAATGCCGAAGCCGTATATGGATTCTCATATCGCACCCATGTTCGAGAGGGAGGCCTCTCGGCTGTTTGTGACTGATTACTCGTCGTACCCGGTGGGGTGACGAGGTTGATCACGATCGGTTCCACATGGCTGGAAACGTTAGAGTTTGTGCCGGTGGTGTCGACGAGGGTCGTAACCCTGGGTTCGTTTCCGCCGGCTGTCAGGCTGACGTTGCCGGTCGGGGTAACTTGATCTGGAGAGATCGGAATTGGTGAGACGTTTCCCGAGATTTGTTGAGTTGAATCCATTTCAGTTTCAGCTGGCTCTTGATCTGCTCTTGAGTAAGAGAAATCTATAGATCTTCCCCACAGACGGCGCCAAAATGTGGATACAGAAATCCACACTCAAAAATTTATGTGTTTTTGTAATGAAATAACTTTAGAGGATTAAGGGCTAGATTCTCTCGAACAAATTGACTGTATAAGCAAGCACTAACTGAAATAACGACTTGATATTAATTGGTTGAATGAAACGGTTACAAAGGTTTTGATGATGAACTGAAAAGAGCTCTAGGAGCGATTACAGAGTTTTCGGATGTAAAAAGTGTAAAAGTAGATCAAGCCGAAGGTCCTCCAAACTGAGCTGTTTGTCTCCTATATATAGCTTGCCTCGTCGAGCTTCGAGCTCCAGCGCGTATCTAGGCCACGTGCAGCAGCTTCAGCCGGAAATCTCGCCACATGCAGCAGCTTCCTCCGCGATCTTCAGACTCGTTTGAACTGGCGAGAATATGCTCTGACTCGTCTCAGATCCTTCCTTGTTTCTCGGGATTCAGTCGAGCTGGAGCTCTACTTCGTCGAACGGAACGTGTTATTGTCAGGACTGGATCGTTGAGAGAGGAATGGGCCTGGACCGTAGGATCGAAGCCCAGTCATTTTTGGCTTAGTTTGGATCTACCTGTTGGGCTCGAATGGGCCGGATTTGAGGTGCCAAATCCAGCTCCAACAATACTGTATATCCATAATCCATCGTTGCAAAAACTCCGACCCATCTCACATTGGATTTCGGCATATCTTTCATTCAATTAATTACATTCTTGATTATTTTCTTAATTCTGAATTTAGGTACAAATAAGCATTTGATTTCGCTAAAAACTTTCGTTTTTCATCTCTAAATAATATCTTCTCGGCTAAGAGCATCTCCAATCTTCTTCTACTTTTTTCTCTACTTTTAGAAGAAAAAATAGAGGTGTTATTTTTGTTCTCCAATCCACCTCTATTTTAGAGGAAAAAATAGAGATGCTATATTTTCCTTCAAATATAAAAAAAAAAGTAAGTATCTCTATATATTTTTCTATAAAATAGAGGTATTCCTCTAAAATAGAGGTGAAATAGAAAAAAATCAACCTCTATTTTAGAGGAATATATAGTAAAACGCATTGGAGATGGTCCAACGTAAATTGGAAACCATAAGTGGTATATACAATTCATTATTATGAATATAAATAATGACAGTTTTTTTACCATCTAATACGAGATTTAACTTCCTAATGAGTTAATAGTTATCGACTTAACCTCCTCTTCACCACTCATCTCCTGCACATCCATTTTATTAGTTGGTGTCTTTGGCCAATATAAAACACTACGAACCTAAAACTCTTGACTCTTCATCTGCCATTTCACCACAATGTTAGTGTGACTAAGCAAGTTGCAACCACTCCTTACAAGCACCATCAAATCTAATTCCACAATTGTCTCTTAAATATAGCATTAGCCCATCAAGAACAATCTCAATCACAAACCATAAAGAATCATACAACAACTTATCATAGAACAATTCTTGCAGGGTCTTTCAAGAGAAAGAAAAAAGTAAATGATCCCAATTCGATTCAATCACTGTGATTGAAAGCGTTTCATGATGAGCATACTCATATCCATGTAGCGAGCCGCACAGTTACTGAGACAAGAAGTCTCGCTCGAGCTGAATTTGCTTCCTGGTTTGTCTGTGATGCACTTGTCCCAGCACGAGCTCGTAAGCTTCGCCACCACTTCGTTCACCATTGCTCTTTCTTTCTCTTGCTGCGCCACAAACACACAAAAACGATTCTTGTAAATACATACTGGCATACGACACGTTTTTTACCAAACCGAACTAAACCACACACAAGAAGGAAGATCCGTAATTTAAACTATCAAAATTTGTTCTCCCGAAGCTATTTCTCTTGCTGTGCCATACACACACACACACTTGATCATATTTCTATAAATTTTACCTTTGCATACAACCCATTACAAAAAAAAAAAAAACAATTCTTGTACACATATATTGGCACAAAACTCGGTTTTAACCAAACCAAACCAAACTAAACCACACACACACAAACACACATTTAATCAGATTTGTATAAAACGTTTTTTTGCATAAATCCCTTGGCAAAAAACGATTCTTGTAAACACATATCGGCACAAAACTCCGGTTAAAACCAAACTGAATTAAACCACACATGAAGAACGACCTTTAAAACTTTAAACTGAAAGAACTATTAAGACTTGATCGAACAGAAAAAAAGGAGACTTACGGTGATGAATTGAATTAATTCCTGGTTTTCAGGGAGGGATGGATCCATGACTTTAGAGAGCGTCTCTGCTTGATGAAGGTGAAGAAGAGGAATCAAATTTTCTCAGCGACTGAAACCCTAAAAACCCCAAAGGGTACAATCAATTTCAAGGGTAGATAAATCGGACCCGCTTTGCTTTCTTGCCTATTGGGTTAGCGGCCCATATAAGTCCCAATTGTTATATATGGATTTGGCCATACCAACCCAAAATGTATATATATTATTATTTTATATAACATATATTATTAGTTATATAAATTAAAATTCAAGATTACATAAAAAAACAAGCAAAAATATATACTAAATTATTTGAAAGAACTATAAAAAAGAAATAAAATCTGACGATAGATCACTTTAATTTTTTTATATATTTTTTTATATCCGTCTTTCTATCTAAACGCAAAATATATCACTTTGTTGTTTTTCTTTTTCATATTCATCTCTCTATTTAACATAATTTTTATTTTTCAATATCATGCATACGATAAAACTCTAAGATCAAAACACCAATTTTCTCTATAGTATACAATGTCCAAATTTTAAATTAGATTTAGAGATATTCTTTTATGAAGAATCTAATTTACTATTGTTAAAAAAAAAGTTTTTGTAGTGCCAAATTTTCAATTAATGTATAACCATAGCCATATAAAAAAAGAGGATGCATATATGACATCGAACCATTATTATTTTTATGATGGTTTCTAGAGTTATTTATGTTCAGGGGCACTTTTTGAATTATCAATTACAAAAATGCACTTTTTGAAACTAAAGCACTTTTGCTATTGAATTAACAATTATGTCCTTGTTTCCAAGTGATGAAAATCAATTCGTATCCAAGCATTGGTGTTAGAATGTTATAAGAATAGTTACAGGATATATGAATTAATTGTGATTCTTACTATGTGAAATATGGAATGAATGTGGAAATCATTAACTATGGTTTTAATTGTGACCCTTCTACATATTACTATGTGCAATGTGGAGTGAATGTGACAATTTCTTGACACTCTTCAAAAATTGTTTTTTTCTTTTTTTTCTTAAAGTTTTTCGTAAACAATAAAATATGCAAGACTAATCATAGAAATTAAATAAACTTTTTAAGTTAAATAAATAATATACTTAAAAAACTATACATATACATATATATCATAAACCGTAAACAATAGCAATTTTAAAACCAATATGCTTAAAACTACAACTGTTCATCTATGCAAACTCTCAGCTTTGCATCCGCTATATTTAAATAAGTGGTATATTACATATTTTAGTGTTTTTTATACGTTTTTAATTAGAAAATGTTTGTATTTGATAATAATACAGTGTTTTCAGTCTTTCTGAAGTTTATAAAGGTTTTGTAGGTAATCAATAATATTTGAATAAAAAGAGATGTGTTTGTACATTTTGAAGATTGGACAACTTTCGAGTATTAGAAGTTTGATATTAGATGGAGAATTCCCCATCGTCAGATCATCCCAAAAAGTTGGACAAAAGATAGCAACAAATGTTAGATTTGATCCTTAAGTGATTTGGAGTCAATCAAGATGGTAGATCAAAAGTTATGTTTACCTTACTAAAGACTGGTGCGTCCACGACAAAAGGGAGCAAGCAAAAGAATTTGGTCTAATTAGGTCGACTGGAGGAACCCTCCAAGACGAGTAGAAGCCCCTAGAATATCTGAATCAATAGGCCAATTGATCCAATGCAAATTGGATTAATCGATCTGGTAAAGCCAATCCAACAAACTGCACCTTGGTTCGAACGATCGATGGTCCAAAGAAAATAGAAAGTTTCCATTTTTTGAGAGTTTATTCCATTAGCCACACATATATATCTTATCCGAACTTTTTACCTATATAAACAACAGAAAGCCATGAAAAACTCATCATCATTCATAGTTTCATTGCTTTTCATAGTTTTCAGTTGAGAATTTGCTACTTTGTGCTTTTGCAGAAGATTTCATCATTGTTTCAGCACCAAAAGTTGTTTCTGAACTTTATTCTCTTATATTCAGAACCGGCCCTGAATTTTGAGTAGCTGCAAAAAAAAAAAAAAAAAAAAGAAGGTTGTTTCATAAAAAAAAGAATAAGTGGGTTTTAAACTCATGACTCCTTAAGAAGAGATGCAGTATATATACAACTAACTTAAAAAGACTTTTTGAAAATTAAGGGCCGAAATTAATTTATAAAAAGAAGGGCCGCAAGCTAATGCTTGCCCTGCTTGGGCTCAGGGCCAGCACTGCTTCCATTACACTAATAATAATATATTTATCTATGTTGTTATTGTTGCTTGTTTGATGAATATGTGTGAGTAATCATTTGTTGGGATTAATGGTTTTTAAAGGGAATTTGTCATTGTTCTGTAGATAGGTTTATGATACTAGATTGGCACTTACATTATGTAAAAGTAGATTCTTTGTCTTTCCAGCTAATATTGTATATTGCTAGTCTGATCATCTAGTAATTTATGTTAGTTAGGAAAATATTGCTCGAACATCACTTGATGATTATCGAAAAAGGAATTGATAGGCTAATGTTTTTAGAGAGCTAGCACTGTTTCTAAGCATCTCAGTGAGAAATCGAACTTGTGCATTCATTTCTATATCGTTTTGTCTATGTTGCATTTGACACATGTAATCTATATTATTTAATTTAAGTCGATTTGCAGTCATCATTTTATAAAAATTATCGAATTAGGACGTGTTTCAACTCTTGAATGAAAATATTTATGTTTGGCTTTAGTTTGCAAAGTCTGAATAATATAAACCATTATCTCTAAGGATTCAGTAACTTCCCAACATTTTTAGTCATAAATTTAACATCTTTAGAATTAATTATTAGTTTCTCATTTGCTTTCGTTTTATTTTGGTTATTCACTTTGGGGAATTTCAGACACTAACTAGGGCTGTTTCAACTACATTGATCAAGTAGGTAAGCAAGCAATGGTGATTTCTAGACATAGAGTTCACAATTAAGCTAGCTAGATCCAATCTCTTGGCAAATAGCTCTTTGCTAAACATCTTAACAAGAACTAACTCTCATTAGTGCTAAAACATCAAGCAAGCAATAGTAAACAACTCTATTCAAGTCAAAATGCTCCTCAAACAGTCAATCTCTTGAGCCAAGGCTAGCAAATCCTCTATTAAACAAGATCAGCATTTCATCAAACACTTGGTGGGCATAAGAGAAAGCTAACAACCTAGATAAGTGTGATCAAGACTAATCTAGCATGAATAACAGATTAATAGAGAGGAACCCATAAACTGAAGCACTTAACAAGCCCTAATCAAGTCTTAAATTCTCCTAATCTACCACATCTAGAAACTCTAAGATAACTACTCACTCATACTCATGTTTAACACCAAATCACAAAGGAAAAGGATGTTAATCATGATTAAGAGAGGGAATAAAGAAAGGTTAAAGCAAATACTCAAATATATTAAATAAAGCAAAAGATTTGTCTTACAAACTTAAAGAAAATGCTTAAGAACAGTATTTTGACATCACATGTCGAAAATATGGAAAAAGAGGCTATTTGTAGCCTAGAGAAGAAAGTCCTAGAGTAATGGCAAAAGCGTAATTAAAAACAGGTTCGGGCTGGGTCAGTATCGGTCAGTTACGTCGGTCTTCAGTGACCGATACAGATCCCCATCGGTCTGGAGTCACCCTTGACCGATACTGGTGATCGATACTGCTCTGTAACGGTCATCCTTGACCAATATTCACCGTGCTCTGACCGAAAACTTCTGCAGAGATTCTCTGCTTCGATCCTTCTTGCTCCCTTTTGCCCAGCTAGCATCCTGGATCGTCCCAAAACTCCTACAAGCTCCTTTTAGCTCCAAAAGTACCTAAAAACATCCAAAATGTAAGAAAAATGCAAACTATACTCTAAATGCAACCTAAGTCTAAAAGGAGAAGAAAATGGGACAAAAGCTAAGGGAAAACATGCAAAATAGGACCAAAATATGTACTAAATACAGCCCTAAATGGTGTAAATACAAGGGATATCAAATATGTATAAGTGATCCATGTATCCTTTTTCAAAACGCATAAGTATGATAATTCAAGAAATTCAAATTAAGGTTCTCACTTATTAGGATAGGAGTCAATTCATGAATGTTCAACTTAAGCCACAAAAATCAAAACAAATGATCCAAATATGGTTAGAGCTTACTTTCAAAGTGTGAACAATGCATCAAAGAACTACTAACTAGGGCCTTGAAACAATTTATGAGCATAAAACACATTTTTAAGAAAACTTTTGCCATTTTTGCAAATGTAAACAACTTAAATGATTTTTAAAAATTCTAGACTCAATCCTACAATATTTAACAATGCAAATGCAAACAACATGAATTTTTTTTGAAATTTTTTAAAAATTGTATCATTTTTTTGTATTTTCTATGCCTTAGATGATGCATGATGACTCAAAGGATGATAACAAAAAATAAGATCAAAGAAAACATGTCAAATAACACACACTCCCCCAAACTTGAATGACACCGTCTCGGTGGCAAACAAAGCTCAAGAGGAGTCAAAACACAAAGCAAAAATCAAACGATGCGTGGTATATACAAGGGTGCGGTTGTTGGTACCTCGGAGCTAGGCATGGCTGGAGCTTGAGGATGCTCCAGACTTCCTGCTCTTTTTAGGAGTCTCGTGGGTAACCGCCTTGCCTTTCTCCTTGCTTGCTCCTTCGTGTGGAGAGCGGCGTGCAGCTTGGTTGTCGCCTTGGGGCTCACAGATCACTATCCCACCAGTTGATCTCCTTCTCTTCTCGGGTTGCTCAACCTCTTCGCTTGAAGATGCCTCGGATGATTTCTTTTGCAAGCCCTTGATCTTCTTGGCAAGCTTTTTAATCATATTGCTCTGCCATTTGTTGATCTTGCGCTGCATCTCGACGACTGAAGCAAGGAACTTCTCAGTTTTGGTTCTCGGCTCGAAGTCAATCGTGGGAAGAACAAAACTCTCGGGCATCTCAGCATCGGATGTAGGTGACTCTGAACGTGGGCGAGAAGCTTGTGTGGGTGCGGCTGTGCCTCCTAGAGGTGCAAAGCATTCCTCAACACTTGGCAGAAACTCAACATTGCCAACACCTAGCAGCTCTGTTTCTTCTTTGTTTGGCAAGATGCACACTCTCTTCTCATTCTAACAATCGTAGAACAAGTAAGCAAAGACCAGCCTATAATGCAAGATGAATGCATG